CCTTTGCCCCCCAGCTGCAGGCTCCTCCACAGGCGGCTCTGGAAAGACGACGCCGGCTCCCCTTCGCCGGCCTTGCTGCTCCCTGTTGCTGGTGCCGCTCCGGGTTCCTCGGCTGCTGCCATTCTTTTCTCCCCGCCTCCCTCCCTTCGCCTCCGCCGCCGCCTCCGCCTTTTCCACCAACCCCGCCGCCCGTTACCGCTGCAAGCGCGGAGGCAGGAAGAGCAGCAGCGCGCGACGGCGGCGGCGGCGGCTTCAGCCCAGTCCGGCCGAAGGAAGAGGTTGCACTTGTTCGCTATCGCAGCGGGCGACCGCCTCAGGGGCTGGGCCTGGGCAGCTGGAGGGCTCCCGCTCTCGGTGCGTCGGAGGCCGCGAAGAGAGGAGCCGCGGCTTGGAGCATGGCAGGAAGCGCGGAGAGCTACCGAAGTTTCGACGCGCCTGACTTTTCCTGATTAGGAAGGAGGTCGGCTGTCTCCACCGGCCGCGCAGACTCGCTTTGTAGGGGAGGGGTGGGGCACAATAAAAAATGATTATCGGGTGGCGTTGTTAAACACTCGTCCCCCGTCCCCCCCAGCAAAAACAATAAGACCGGAGAAAGTAATATATTATAAGGCAATTGCCAGAGTTAAACTTCATCGACGTGGAAGAACAATGCTTTATGATGTAAATTCGGACTTGTATGAATTTGCAAAAGTTTCTCTTGAGTTGTTTGCCCGCTTCAGAAGGCTAGAAGAAAGAAAATTAAAGGTAAATGCAGCGTGTCTCTCAATATCACTGATCAACCCAAGGGTGCTTTTTCAGGAGGCAACTGGACTTTATTGTTTTTTTCTTTGGAGACGTTTCGTTTCTCACCATTCAGCTCTGACAGGATAGTGGGGAAGTAGGATAGTGGCAGAGCTGAAGAAGCTTCTTGGATGAAACGTCTTCCCAAAAAAAACCAAGAAAGCCCAGTTGTTGCCTGAAAAAGCACCTTTAGGACAACCGTGACCTGGATGACTGACAATCTCTACAGACTTTTATCACAGGTGTTCATTTAGTCTGTAGCTCTCATCACCCTGGCAGCATTTACACAACTTTGTCCAGACCAATTTGTCCAAGCAAATTGAGTTTAGAGAACACATCAAGCCATTACCTAATCACAGGTTGTGTCCCAACACACTACTAAATATCAATTAGATGCCTTGTTTATAGTCATGTATATCCTACAAGTCCAGCCTTTCCAAGAATGCCTATCAGGGATGGATGCTACTTCATACTGCCAACATATAGATATAAAAAATTATCCTTGGCATTATCGTGATGAGACTAGAACTGAGTAGGGTTCAAATTCTGCCCTTCTAGCATCAAAACATGCCAAGCACTCTGGTATATTATTTTGAGACATAGACAAGTTTTGTATGCAGGATCCAGGCCATTGGATTTCTGTTTTATAGTTCAGTCTGTTGTGAAAACCCAGCAAATAGAATTAATTAAATCCCAAGGGCTAATGTATTGTATAGATCCACTATAGGTCTTGGCTGGCTTAATTGTGATTGCTGAGCATGCTTGCTTATGAATAACTCGGTTAACCTAATTGGCTTTTGTTTGCAACACTGCAGATTTGCACAATATGGAAAACTAAAATGTTTGGCTTGGTTGTGGTTCAGTATTTTGTCCTCCTTCAGCCAATGTAATTAATTTGTTGCTCAATATGTCTGCAGACCCAAGGAATTGATTGAGAAAACCATGGTTCAGTTCAGTATGGATGAACATATTGTGTGAATGCAACCAGTACCTTTAAATCTGATGACGCTAGCTAACTATATGAAATTGGCTGCAGTTGAAAAAAGAGCAAGCTCATTTGCTGGTTCATCAGTTACAAGTATTTCCATCTGGCAGTACAGTGTTTGAGAACAGGAAGGGAGGGGACGGGGACTTAGTGGAAAGGAAATTTTATGTTTTTTAGGCCACTCTCATTCCATTCCAACAATCCTTTCCTTTTCCTGTAGGTGCAAGGCCGTTACACGATTCCCAAAAAGCACTTAATGTTGCATTATGTTGTTGCTGTTGTAGCCAACTGCTATCACATTTCTGAGTAGTGAGTCATTATACAAAAAATGAGACATCACAGTCTTAGTAGATGTCAGCTTCTGTATTTTTGGAAAATTGGGGAAGAAAAGAAAATTCAGAATTTTTATTTAAACTAAAATTACACTCACTATTCATAGAGAGCACAAACATTATCGCATAAGTCTTTTATTTTTAACTTCTGATGTTCCTGCTGATTCACTTCAAATATTGGGGAGCAAAGTTCCAGGCAAACAACCTGTAAATCTCAAGTGATAAGAAGCTCTGCCATAGCTGACTTTTCAGTCACATGTGCTGCTTATCCAAGAGCTTTTGAATCATAAACTGCACTCAGCAATGTGGTTATACAATATTTTCTTCCTAGTTTAATAAAAACTGCAAGTCCTTTAATGCAACCTTATTAATAGGACATTGGAAGATGGCTAACTGCATTTTAAAGAGGCAATGTCCTGTCAGACTGAAACATGACCTCAAGTGATGTACAAGATGTCTTACGATCTTAAAATAACATTAATTAACATAAATATTTTTTTCTACCAGTCTTATCAATAGAAATTTAAGAAAAGGTTGGTTATTGACTTTATAGTGGACCTGCACTAAATTAGAAACAGTGGATCAGAAAATGAGTGTGGATCTTCCCATTTGCCCAGTATACTCTTAATACAGGAAAAATGCATGCCAACATTGAAACTAAAACTATTGAGTAGAAAATTAGAAACTTGAAATAAAAAGTGGGAAGAGAAAAATTGTTTTTGTTTTTTTCCCATACCCTTGTAAATGTGGTAAGACATGCAAGTCATATTTCAGCTCTATCATAATCTGGAAGGCTAAAAAAATGCAAATAAGAGTTTACATTTGGAATAAACATTTATTGGACTGACTTCGGTCCAGGCGTACGCAAGATGAAGAATTGGAGGCTAGATTCAAAGCTCCATTCTGCTCATTTGAATCTTACATTACCAAAAGTTACCACTGTAATGTGAAAGTAAATGAATTATCATAATTTTTAAGCACTAAGACAGGAAATATATAGCAACAGTTGTTCTTGTCCATGAGCCAAGTCAATAAAATCCCATCTGTTTCTTCAACTCCTACAAAAGCAAAAATGAGAACATTTTACGTTAATTTGCGTGGCCTTAAGTTCTGGGAAACAATCGATAATAAATAGTCTAGTTTGTTTCACAATTTCTTTTTTCCAGTTTTTCTTTTCTTCTCCCAACTAGCACAGATAACATTTGTTCATATCATTGTATTCAAGACCCATCAGATTCCTATGCCTATACATATTCTTATTTTCCACCCTCATTTATCTGGAATAGTCACCTTCTGTCTCTAAATTTCTTATATTTGCTTGTATCTAAGATCTAAGCTATACCGTATTTTTCGGCGCATAAGACACACCAAGATTTTGAAGAGGGAAATTAAAAAAAAAAATTTGCACTCTGTAGATCTTCCAAAAATGGCCCATTTTTCTCAAAAACAGGCCCATTTTTCATAAAAAAAGGGGCATGCATAGCCTTTAAGAGGCTTGTAGAGTGCTCCCGGGGGACGGGGGGGGGGATGAGCAAAAATGGCCCATTTTTTGCTCATTTCTGCCCTCCCCAGCCCCCAGGAGCAATCTGGAAGCCTCCTAAAGGCTATGCAGGGCCATTTTGGTAAAGCGGGCAGTGTTTCGGGAGACCAAAAATGATGTATTTACTGTATAAGACACACCCAGATTTTCACCCTCTTTTTTGAGGGAAAAAGGAGTGTCATACTCTGAAAAATATGGTAGTTCCTTTCCTTATTCCTCCTCCAGCAAGTTCTATAATTACTCCTGTTTGACTGTTTATGTATAGTTTATGTTTCTAAAAAATAGTATTCTTGATTTGTCTAATCTTTGATCTGTAATTCTGGTTTATTGCATTTCTTCCCTTGATTGTCTGAATTCTGCAGCTATTCATTTCGTGACTCTAGGCTGTAGTGTTCAATTTTTATTTTTGAATGCTGTAAAAGGGGACAAGATTGCTCAATAATTTGGAAGCCTTCAGATAATAACATACAGCAATTTAAGATGTTTCCTGACTTGTACTGATTAAACATGCTTTCTTGCACATGTTCTAGTTAGTGATGATAATGGATTAGACTTGTTTTAGCAAATGTTGATATTGAAGAAACAAAAATCTTAGTTTAATTGTATCTTCAGATATCCATTGTCTTTTTAGCATGGATTCCTAGGGAAAAGTAATGTTTAGGTTACAATTTGATAAATAATTCCATTTGTAGTACTTTTTTATGACTGTCTGCTAATAAAATTTTAATAATTCCAGTAAAAGAACCAGTAAAATCTTCCAGGAATTGGGTTGTCCACAAATGCATATCTCCCTTTTTAAAATTGCAGTTAATCATTAAAGTATACAAGCATACCTTAACTATGAAATAGTTAACTGTTCTGGATGGAAACCTCTAATTCAAATGTATTTTAGGGAATGGAATGGAATGGAATGGAATAGAATAATTCTTTATTGGACACACAAGAAATTTTTCTGTGGTGCATAAGCTCTCAGTGTACATAAAAGCTGTAAGTGATAAATCATGATCATAGTCATTATAAAAATACATTAATCGTAAGATACAACACTTAGTGATAGTCATAGGATACTGTTGTGGCCCTGCAGGATCTGTTTGAGCTGCTGATGGACTCGGATAATGAGGAACTCTATGGGTCTGCTATGGAAGATGTGGAGGACCCTGGGCAGGGTTCAGACTCAGAGCAGGGACCAGAGAGGCTGGTTGGCCACCAGGAGGCACCTGAGGAATGGAGCAGTGAGGAAGATCAAAGGCAGTTTGTCCCTGATGCAAGGTTAAGAAGGGCAGAGAAACGGAAGCAGCAGCTTCGGAGACAGACTCATAAGAGATAATCAAGTCCAGGTGGTTGTGGCTTGGCCCCTCCCAAGAGAGTATATAAGTGAGAAATTGGACACAACCATTCGTAACAGTCTTGAGGAACTCTTGTCTGGTCTGTTTTGTATTTCCGTTCTGTTTGGTTTGGGTT